GTTGAACATTTTTTCAAGTGTTTATTTGCCATTTTTATTTCTTCATGTGAGAAGGGTGTATTCATCTCAGATGCCCATTTTTGGATTGGGTCTGTGAATTTGGGGAACATAATTTTTTCAATTCATTATATGTTCTAGACAGGAATCCTTTCTCTGAGGGACAGTTGACTAAAATTTTTCCCGAATTCGTGGGTTTTCTTTTCACCCTGTTTGTGATTCTTTTCATGTGCAAAAACTTTTCAGTAAGATGAGATCCAAGTTGCTGATTCTTTGAAGTATTTCCCGTGCAGTTTTGTTTTTGTTCATGAACTCTCTACCTACTCCTATTTCAAGACTTCTGCCTACTTTCTCTTCCATTAGAGCTAGTGATTCTGTTTTAATATTTAGACCTTTAAGCCATTTTGACTTTATTTTGGCACATGGTGGTAGGCGGTCTAGTTTTAGGTATGTGGAAAGCCAGTTTTTCCAGCACCATTTATTAAAGAGGCTATCTTTCTTCCAGCGAACATGTTTGGCCCCTTTGTCAAAGATAAGATGGCTGAAAAAAAAATGATAAGGTGGCTGAGTGTCTTTGTGGTTGTGTCTGCATCTTCTAGTTTGTTCCATTGATCTTCAGGTCTGTGTTTTTGGCAATACCATGCTGATTTTATCACAGTAGCTTTGTAGTATAATTTCAAATCAGAGATTGTGATACCTCCTGCCTTGCCTCTTTTGCCCAGGATTGCTTTTGCTATTCTGGGTCTCTTCTGGTTCCAGATAAATTTTAGGAATATTTTCTCTAGGTCTGTGAGGTATACCAATGGTATTTTCTTCAGAATTGCATTGAATCTGTATAATAATTTTGGGAGTATGATCATTTTCAGAATGTTGGTTCTTTAGGTTTAATTTATGACCAGAGTCTTGAGTTATGACCCAAATGCTTGCCACTTGTGCAGTTGTAAACAAAGACTGGCAATGCTAGAAAAGCATATGTATGCATACACAAACATCAGTCTGAGCCCAGGTGCGTGTGTCTGTGGATGTGATTTTCGTCAGTGCTTGATATAATTGCTATCATTACTGCTCTCAAAATGGCTCCCAAAAAGCTAGAAAAGAAGCTAAAGAAGGAAGGGAAGGTAAAGAAAGCAACTGCAATAGAAAAGAACAGTGTTAAATAAAAGACAGAAACAGACAAACTTAGACCAGTTTTTAGTTCCATAAGGTTGACACCTAGTGAGCCAGAAGCAGTTCCTAGTGGGCTATAGAATCACCCAAGGAGAGAAAAGATACCAGAGAGGCAATTCCTGATGTTCTCATGGAAGGGGACTCTCCTTCCCAACAATAATCACCTTCCATTTCATCCTCCCCTCCTGCAAGCCACAGATGTCAACTTGAACAGTGATCATTATGTGAAATTGTTATTTCTGGTAAACTAGACACATTTTATAACTTTGTGGTGAATTCTCTAGGAAAATTATTCGTGATAAATTATGTACATTATACAACCCCCTCCTTTTTATTGTTTTTATTAGGGGTATTTGGGGAGGTTTGGAACACATTACACATATTTCTATTATTTTTGAGGGGAAAAATAGTCTCAATGTACAATCAACTTGAGTTACAACCAGTCCTCGTGAGCGAAATGAGTTTTTAAGTCAAGCATCCTCTGTATTTTAATGTTTGCAGTGATGCTCATGCTGTGAAACTGGGGGCCAAGTTTTAGAATCAATAAATTATAGGAATATTACTATACAAACGACACACATGTTTTTCCATAGGTAAAATTGTAAATTCCTCTCCCAAAGCTCAAAGAGGTAAAGCAGCTCTCCCTAGGCCTCAGGAACAGGAAGATTAAAATTACTTGCTGAAGATTTCTGAGGCACAGCATTGTCCCAAGTAACAAAAGCTTCTGTAAGAGGAGCTTGGTGCTCCAAGAGGGTATTTCATTTGCTCTTTTTCTTTTTCTGCTTTCATCAAGGTCCGCGAGGTGGGAGCAGGGGGTGCAACCTGAATAACCAGCAGGTTATCCAACACCTGGGTGAGTAACTAACAACTAACTCTATTACCATAAGCCACTAACTACATTACCCAGAACTCTGTGCGAAAGGTATTAGCCAATCAAAGTCCCGAAATGGGCATTTTCAGTTTTTCTTGGCGGAAGAGGCGGGACTTCCAGCGTGGGCCTGGCGACGTTTCCGCCTGCTTCCAATCCGCCCTGGCCCGGAAACCCCGGGTGCCCGCGTTGGGCTTCCTGTTGCCCACCCGCTGCGAGCAGGGAGGCAGGGAGTGTACGGGACGGGCCTTTTCTCTGTGTGCGTGTGGCCCAGGCTCTCCACTGCGGCGGGGCGGCCTCGCGGGGCCATGCCCAGCGGGCTGCGCTGTTCCCGCGGCCTGGGGACCTGTCCTCTGAACTCCTCGCGCGCCAGGGGAGGAGTGGGGTTCGGCCGAGCCTTCGGGAAGCTTGCTGCCCCTGCGCCTCCGCTTCTCACCGCCGTCCCCGCCCCTAATGGCGGCCGCGAGGATGGACCGGCCTCAGGTGAATGGAGCGTCTTCAGCCGCTCACTGACCCGGCCTTGGCGGCTCGTGTGTGCTGGGTGCTTCGTCTTTCTCCCTTTTTCCTTGAGCATAAACACCTTCGAGCGCAGGCAGGGGTCGGGGAGCGGAGAGGTTCGCATTTCCAGGGTCCACGTGAGGAGATGTGGGAGAGCCTCCGCCGCAGAAGTCGTACAGCTCCTTGGCGGTTACAATGAATTAGCCGTGTTCCAGGTACCGCCAGTCTCCAGTCTGATGAGAAAGGAAGACGGCGGCTCGTGGTCTGGCCTGTAACTGCGACCTAAGAAGCTGAGCTTTACTTCTGAGGGTTATGGGAGCCCCGAATGGTTCTCTAGAGACTTAGAGATGCTCTGAGGCAGTTCTTAATAGGATTTCCCTGGCTTCAGCGAAGATGTTTTATATGGTCTTTAGGCGGACCGACCAGATTTTCAGAGGAGCCCTTGGTGTCCTGGCACTCGTAGACTGAAGTTGTGTTTTCACTTGTGTCTGGGGGTCTACAAGGAGGGTCTCTTCTAGCGCAGTGTCGAGTCTAGGGCAGAGTTACATGGAGAAGTTCCCTTTCTTTGCTCCAATGGGATGAGGAATGGAAGAGTTCGTTATCCCTGGGAACTGGCATGTGCAAATGCTTGGAGGTGAGATGGAGTTCGGGGTACTGAAGGAACCTCAGGTCTTAACTGTCTGTGAGAAAGAGCAGGGGTAGGTGCTAGGCAGGAATGGCAGACTGGAAAGCAGCGGCTATGTTCTGCGCGTGGTGTCATGGAAGATTGCGAGGAGAGAGGGAGATGACTTGATTCCAGTATTAACAGTCATCCCTGGCTATGAGGTTGAGAACACTGTGGGCATGGCCAAGGAGCCTACTGCAATATTGTTGGTCTCGTCTGTCTCCACCACCAGAGATGTGATAGGGAAGTGATAGAGGTTCAATTTCCTTTTTCCAAGTGGGGTGACAGGGTTTTTTGACATGAAGAAGAAAATGTGAAGAATTATGGGTGACCCCAAGGTTCTATTTATTTGTTGTGGTTTAGCTTGTAGAATGATGGAACTGCCATCAACTGAGACGGACAACTTCCTGGCCGGAGTGATTGTAGTGATTCTGTCAGGAAGTACATAGGTGCTGTTTGTTGAAGAAGTTGCACACACCTTTGTTGAGACACCAAAGTAAATATCAAGGTTTTTCATTCTGGGGTTCTTTTGAAGTGGTTCTTTTGAAGAAATTTAAAAGAAGACTCCAAAGTAGAGTGTAACATAGAGCTATGGGAGTGTCAAAATGTCAGTGCCATTTGTCAGTAAGCAAGATGAAAGAGAGGAAGGAGAAGTGGCTCTGTTGTTTTGGTACATAGGTGGGAATGGTGTCTGTTGTAAAGACAGGTGACTATTTGTGTAACTGTGTGTAGTGGCCCACTGGGGACACCAAGGACATGTGTGTAGTATGGGTAAACGTTTGTCAGTGTTGCTAGGGGTTTCAGAGATGAAGGAGGTGTGGTCCTGAGAATGAAGTGCACGTTGGGAAGACTGCACTGACACTCTCATGACCCTAGTACTGATGGCTTCTGAGACAAAGCTCAGCTGGTTTGGTTGTTTCTGGCAGGCTGCGTAACTGATTGGTAGGAGAGTGTTTGGGATCCTTCATGCCAGAGTTTAGGCAGCACCTCTGTGTACTTGCTTGTTTCTTCTGAAGGCTGAGCACAGTAGTGAGAGAGACATGGGGAGACAGCAGACACTAGTGACCTAAGATCTGACCTTGGCCCTGTTTTTGAAATCTTGGGAAGAGGCTGATCAAGGGCTGCCTGTACTTGCACTGAATCAGAAGGGGGTGGCTTTGTGGAGAGGTGTTGCCCTTGGGCTCATCTGTCACTATCATTCTAGGGCCACGTGACCTTTGAGGACGTGTTCGTGTACTTTTCCCAGGAGGAGTGGGAGCTTCTTGAAGAGGCTCAGCGATTACTTTACCGTGATGTGATGCTGGAGAACTTTGCACTTGTGGCCACGCTGGGTAAGGCCCTTTCTTAGGTGTCTATTGCTAGTTTGCAAATCACCTAAAGTTTAATGGCTTAAAACGATAGAAATAGTTACCTCTTAATTGCAGCACCTTAGGTCTCTGGTCACAGCTTGTGTGGGTGCTGTTATCTCAGCGCTTTCATTCAAACTGTGAGCCAGAGCTGTGGTGTCCTCTAAAGCCTGTTATGGGAAAAGTCTACTCACAAACCTCATCAGTTCTTTGCTGGTAGATAGCCAGAGGCCTCTCTCTAGTTATTGTCTTTGCAGCTAACTTGTACTTGAGCAGATGTCTTAGTTACTTTTCTCGTTGCTGTGACAAAATACCCAACACCCAGAATTAAAGCGGAAAAGGTTTATTTGACTCACAGTTCGCAGAGGTTTCAGTCCATAATCACCTGGCTCCAAGGTGGAGTGGCATGGCAGAGGGGCATTGCAGAGGAGAAACAGCTCATAGTAGGCAGAAGATAGCAGAAGAAACAAGTGGGAGAAACATCTCCTCTGTCCCTTACATTGAATGCAGGCTGCTCATCCCAGGGCAGTGTAGCACTTACACCTGTAATGCTAGCCAGAACGATGCCAAATTGAGTCAGTGGGCTGATTTGCTCTTCACATACCCTTAATTCCAGTATCATACGCTCTAGATTCAGCCACCTTGGAAAAAGCCCTATGACCACATGAGGCTTTGGGGAAACACCTAGACACAAACCATAAGAGCAAGTAAGCAGGAGAATGCCCGGGAGGAAAGTCCAGGTTATAGTCTAATCACGTGACATTTCATTACTTTTTCCGCATCCCGTTTCTTTTTTTTTTTTTTTTTTTGGTTTTTCTCCGGTACCGGGAACCGAACTCACGACCTTGCGCTTGCCAGGCAGGCGCTTTGTCACTGAGCTAAATCCCCAGCCCCCGCATCCCGTTTCTTAGAAATGAGTCAGTCATTGCAGGCAGTAATCAGGGAAGAGGCTTTTGGGAAGGCTAGAATAGGAGGAGGTAGGATCCCTGCTGCCCATCTTTGAGGTTGCCATCCACATGTTACCATACCCTGTTGTCCCTGATCCTCCCCCAGGTGTAGTTCTGTGACTTCCTTCCCTTTCTGTTTTTTCTTTCTTGTGTGTGTTTCTGATTGTCAAATCCTGGACCCTACCCATGCTCCACAAGTGCTAGTCCACTGAATTACACCCCGAGTAAGTGCTGTGAGTTAAGAGTTGGGCTGTGTGCAGTGACCCCTCCTTTCCTGAGTAGTCCCCGCCGGACTTCCCCTTGTAGATCTCCTAGGACCTGGTAAGGGATAATGGGATTTTTCAGTGTTATCAGTGGATTCTGCAGAGCTTGAAGGCTCACTGTCCTGATACCATCCTCCTGGCTGACACTTGTGTTTCTGAAGTTTAATGCTCATCTTCTCCCTGCTATTTCCTGAGGAGTGAATGTTTGTGAGGGTTCGAGTTGATCTGGCATCAGGCATCTTGAGTGATAACCACCAGCATTCCCCCTGCATAGCTATGGTGTGTTTTGTTCAGTCTCCCCTCCTAGATACAAATAAACAAAATCATTAGAGTGATCTGTGGAGCTTTGTGACTTGACCTGGTCACTGTCACTGCTGGGAATGTGAATGGTGTATTTACTGTTTGCTGGAGAGAAATCATGCACATTTAGGCTTAGATGAAGTCACTTTTGTCCTAACCCTTATAGAAGCCTCTTAGGCCCAGATTACAGGGTCTTCTTGCTGGTCTTTCTGCTGCCCTTGGACACAGTGTTGTAATCAAGTCCCAAATAACTTCTGTTCTCTGCCCCTGCAGATGTGTCTATGTCCCCATTCTCTCATGTGGCCAGCTCTTACACACTGGCAGTGTGTAGAACAGTTCACAGATCAGACAGGAGCACAGGAAAATGGGGAAGAGGAAGGAGGCTTCTGTGGCACAGTCTCTGCTTGGGTAGGTTCTGGCCCACTGGGAGCACAAAGATGACCCAAAACACGGCTGAGTTTGGAGCAGTTGTTCCCTGAATGCCCCCAAGGCTAAAGAACAATGTTACCTGGCTGCTGCAGTGCAGTGCTGTGCTTGGCCTGTTCAGTTGGCTACTGGTGCCCAGCTGTCTGCAGAGGAGAAGGTAGAGAAATTGGAAGAAGTTTTACAACTTGAATGAGGTACATATCTCTTCCTCTCAGCCTCTTACATGACGGAGAACATGGAAGATCAGGACAGCAATGTTTGTTTTGACTTTTTTGGTTTACTTATTTTTTGAGGCAGAAGCTCACTATGTATTCCAGGCTGCCTCTGAACTCACTATGTAGCCCAGGCTGGCCTCAACTTGAGGTGATCCTCCTGCCTCAGCCTTCTGAGTGTTGGAGTTACAGGCATGTGCAACCACACCCAGCTCATGTAGCAATCTTGAAATCCTTGATTCCTGCTTTGTGCAGCTGAGGTCAGATTGCTGAACAGAGAAGGTGTGGGAGCTCTTGTTTCAAGACCAGAGTGGGCTGCAAGGGGTTGGAGTCACTGAGAAGAGGTGAATGAGGATGGAGATCCCCCTCCTTGTGAGCCCTGTTTTCTGCTTAACTGTTAATGGGTCGGAAAGCCCAGGCACAGAGTATTCAGCTGGGTGGGGAGGGTTCCTACTCAAGAAGATACGACTGTTCAGGGATAGACTGCAGCAGAATCAGTAGATACTGTGAAAGCTTTTTTGTTTTCAATGCTGGGAGCTGAATCTAGATCCTTGTGCATTCTAGGCAAGTGTTCTACTATAAAGCCATAGCTCCAGCCCCATTTCAAAACCTTTTGAACAACTACCCTGTGAGATTCTGACTTCCTGGATTATGAGATTCTGGGGTAGGGGAGGAGGTGGCGTTTCTGCGGTGGAAAATGAAGCTGAAAAAATAAGGACTATTACCATTCACTGGGCCCTTAGGCAGCACCTACATAATGCCTGACAAACCCAGGGAAATCATTCCTTCCCAGCATGGATCATCTTGGGTGTGGCATAGGCAGTCACCTGGGGACAGGTAACCCATGGAAAAGTGTGGAGGAAGCCTGAGTGTTCTGAGGACTTGGGCATAAGACCGGCCATTACATCCAGATGTTTCAAAGAGCTAATAAAGCAGCTGGGGTAAAAAGAAAACTGTTATAAGATATTCAGAACACACTCCTGTAATCCTAGCACTCGGGAGGCTGAGGCAGGAAGATCATTATGAGTTCAAGACCAGCCTGGGCTACGAAGGGAGCTCAAGGTCAGCCTGAACTGCATAGGGAGACCCTGTCTCAAAAAGATACCCCCTCTCCCCCCAAGAAAAAGTTCAGAAATGTGCAGCCCTCTCCTTTCCCTCCTCAACCCCATTGTCAGACAGGATGTGTGTGAGGTGAGTGAAGTATTGCTGACCTGGGAGAGACTGTGGATCGGCCAGAGTGGGCCTTGTTACAAAACTTGATAAGAAAAAGGGAAAAATAAAACTAGGTGTTAAGGGCCATATTAAAATGACTAGAAAACAGATAGGGCATGATTTATTTTTGCCCAGGGAACAATATATAGAGAATACCATGCAATCTTGGTAGACTTATGGAAGGAATTGAAAAATCAACAATTCTAACCTTTCCTTTCTCCTCCTGTAGAAGGTTGAGGAATTCCTGCTCTCTAGAGCTGCTGTTAATGCAGAGTAGATTCCCTCAGGATTAGGAGCAGAGCCTCAGTTGCCTTAGAGTAAGGAATATAATGGGTGACCAGAGGCCTCACATACAATGTATTATTTGTTGTATTTCCTTGAAAATGAGACTAGGTCTTACATTAATTTTTTGCTCCAAAAGATGCAGTAGAGCTTATTTTCAGGAGATACCTTTTTATTTCATGTACAACATCAACATTTATTCATGTATAACAATCTGTATGTACTCATTTATTCATGTACAGAAATCTGCATTTATTCAAGTACAGTCATGTTGTCTTCTGGAACATTGTCATAATTCTCCAAACCCTGAATTTCTTGCAACTCCATTTCCTGTAGAACCATTGGCCCTAATCACTCCTGTCCAGCAATAAAGCTCTCCTTACATGAGCACTTTTTATCCATGCAGCCTGCTTATAGAACATTGGCAACATAGTTGTCAGTGACTTTATCCCCTTGAGTGCTTCACCCCAGTCATGGCCTCTTGCAGCTGAGCTTCACAAAATTCCCTTTCAGTAAAGTGTTAATTGAAGACTTCCAAGACAGGAGTGGCAAAAAAAAATGTTGACAGTTGAGAATGATGGTCCACCTAAAAAGTGATGAAAAGTTAAAGAAAAATGCAGAAAACATTTCTTTATTTCACACGAGTGCATTAAGTACGTTTGCTACAACACACGGCATATTGAATTATGAAGATTCACGTTAGACACAATCATGAGCGTTTGCTACCAGTTATGCACATTGTTTGCGCATTGTGTCTGTACTCTGATAGGTCATTTGCCAGTGTCTCAAGTTCATCTGTTTACTTAGGCATTTACCTTTCATCCAAAGGCACCCACTTGGGTATTCACAAATATAATTTATATTATCATTTGTTTTAGGTATTAATGTCAATGCTATTTATTTATATTAAACTATAAATATTATAATATAGTATATCCATTGTATGTTGAACTGGATATATGAAATGGATCTATCTGGCTGTCAGTCCCAAATGGGGCTCAAGCATCCTGAAAAATCATATTAGGGCTATTTTCCGGTTAGGTTTTATTTTGGAGAAATATGATACTCGCTCTTCAGTAACAAGGAGAAAACAGTGTTCTGGTAGATACAGGTGCTGAATGTGTGCTAATCCACAGCAACCGTGGGCAGTCATTGGTAGATATGGGCGTAAGGCCATCCCACTGTAGTTTTGTTGCATCTGGGCATTGGGAACACCTCCCCTGTCCTGCATGTGGTATTGACCTCCCTGCCCTTGGGAACATTTTAGGGACCATTACTCTAGTTGGAAAGACATCGTGTACATCAGTAGGGGAATTTCAGCTAATCTCCAGGTAGGAAAGGGAGTATTGAGGTACAAAGCAGAATGGGCTTGTATTAGCCTTCGTGTTCCTAGGAGGGTAATAACTAGAAGACAGCTTAAACTGCCAGGTGGGCTTGCTGAGATTGGAGAAATGATAGAAGAATTAGAGTGGGTTGGAGTTTTATGACCAGCTCAAAGTGCCCCTGATAGCCCTGTCTCGCTGATGCAGAAGCCAGATGGGACTTGGAGAATGACTGTCAACCACAGGGAGCTAAATCAAGTGCTGCCTCCCACCTAACATTACTCAGGTCCTGGAGACAGTTGCATCCTATGGCTGTGTGCATGCTGTCTGGAGCTGGCTAATGCCCTTTCCGGCACTTGGTAAGCAACCAACTCAAACCAGCTCATGTTCCCTTGAGATGGAGGATGGTGGACATTACACGTTCTGCCTCAGGGAGTCCACACAGTCCTGCTGTCTGTCCTGGAACAGTGGTTCCAGGACCTCTCTCGCTCTCCTCACTTCCTGCTCCTTTCCTCTGATTCCATTACATTCATGATATTAAGCTAACTGGTGCGGGTTGTGCCCTTATACAGCTAGATCCACTGTGCACTCATCTGTACATGAGGAAGTGGGCCGTCCACCCCAGCAGCACCTCTGAAAAGTTACTTGGAGTGCTCTGGAAAATAAGCCCTAGCATGATTTTTCTGTGATCCCAGGCACAATGCAAGATGAAGGGCAAACTTCCCCATCCCCATGTGGCAAAGGGCGGACGGGCTTTTCTGGAGTGCTGGGCTGTTGCCAGGCTGTGTTACTCATAGGGCTCAACCCATCCCACGGTATTGGCTCATTAAGAAGAGAGTTACGTGTGATTGGAATGGGTCTCAGTAGGCAGCATTTGAAAAGGCTAAGGTTTTGAGAGCACAGGTTTGTGCTCCAGATACCCCTGTCAGGTATGCCAATGAAATTAGAAGTTGCCAGTACCTGAGACAGCATGAATTGGGCTCTCTGGCGAAAAAGCAAGGACAAAAGTTTCCTCTGAGCTTATGGTCACAGCTGTAGGAGGGATCTAATGCTCGAAACACCCCGTTAGATCAGCAGTTACACAGTGTACAGGTGAAGTCACCGATCAGTACTTTGTCAGTCACAATGCACAGACCTACTTAGAAAGAGGCGCCTGTTTCACCAGCCTCGATGCACTGTGGCACAGACCCCTGCTCTAAACGAGTAGCAGTCAGTATTTACAGCAATGCAGTGTCCTCTGCGATAGTTATTACCTCCCAAACTGTGATGGTGTTGGCCTTGTGATCAGTGAAGCTGCCATTGGCTGCCCTGGGACCTTTGATCTCACAAGTGCAGGAGGGGGTAGCACCCGCACCTAAAGACTCTTGGTGCACAGATGGGTCCAGTGGGAACCCTAGTACATGCATGCACTGTGCTGTGGTACAACCTGCCTCTGCTGCCATCTGATTCGTGGAAGGACATCTGAGCATCTAGTGGACAGAGCTGCAAGCAATGTGGCTGGAGTAACTCATAAGCCATGTCCCAGGCTCTGCTGAAAGCTGGGCAGTGTACTGGGCCCTCACATTGTGGACGTACAGTGGCAAGAACAGTATTTTCACTGGAAAAGCTTTTCTGGGAAGCCACAGCATAGGTACAGGTGTGAAAACCACTGCATGAACCAGGGCCACAACTGACTGTGTAACTTGTGCTGCCTGGAAAGACAGGCAGATGATCTGCTGAGGTGTAGGCCCTGTCTCTGACCCAGGCTGTGGACAAAAAGTGCTAGCATAGGGTGAGCCATAGCAAAGAGCAGGATCACTCCTGAAATAGAGTGGCTTCTTGGCAGCTACAGTCCCATGTCAGGTGTGGTGACATCTCTGGTCCTGTCGTTTCATTCACAAATGGGAACAGATCTGGCTGTGTAGCCCTTATAGGACTGGCAAGTTGATTAAATTGGCTCTTTGGAAACAGTAACTGCATAAATATGCTTTGATCTGTGTAGGTAAAGGTACAGGACTCCTGCAAACCTTTCCCAGCATGAAAACTAACCAAGCTACCACTCCAAGGCCTCTCGAGGTTCAGTGTGTTGTGTGGGTACCTGTACGGTGAAGCAGTGCTTGCACACCCATTTCACTGGACGTGGTCCAGGATTAGGCCCTTCACAGGTTGTATCATGACACTTACCACCTTGCTGTAACCCTTCAGGAAGCTGGGTGCTGGAGCAAAAGAACAGCTTATTAAAACAATAGATATGGGTCCTATTAGACAAACCCAGCTTGGCCAACTGGACTGAAGTTCTTGCAGAAACACTAATACATTCAGATACCCACACAGCGGGCACACTTGCCATTTATGAGCACCCGAGGGCTCTGGACCCCACCCTAAGCATCACACATGCCCACACCTTATGGCCTGATGCCAGAGTTGATACAGAGAGAATGCTGCTGGTTTGCACACTGTAAGCATCAAATCCAGAGGCAGGGACAGGTAAGTAGAGGCTCTGTAACTTTCACTCCCTCCATACTCCCCAGAGTTGGTTGCTGCTTAATGCAGTATGAGGAGCCTCCCAGCTGACACAGTACTTGTTGGACTCTGGACCTGTAGCCATGACCTATGCCCTGAGTGGGCTAAAGGGCACATCCTAGGGGTCTACACTTAGCCTCTTATGTGGATGGCGTGTTGCCATTTATTTGGAATCACTTAAGAGTCCGGTCTTGTTGGCCACGTGTGACCTGCTCTACCACCTCAGGCCCATCTGTGGCAGTTCTAGTGCTGTCCTGTTGGATGGTACAGGGTTACTTTTACAAGTTTCTGGTACATATTTATTTTTCTTTCATAGCTGGAGTCTTTTGCTGTTTTTCCTGGAAACTGTGTGGTTCACAAGCCTCAATTAATTAATTAACCTGTGGTTAACAACCTTGCGTGGCCCTGTCCCTCCTATCGGTGATATCCTAGGCTGTTGGTTTGGTTCCTGGGGCTCCTCGTTATTTTCATTTGCATTTTTGTGCATGTGCCTGTGCTGTGGCTATGGCCTCTGCTCACATACTGGACAAATAGCCTCATGCTGTGTCGCCTACACCGTGCTAAAACCCCTCTTTGGCTCAGGGCCTGCTGAGGAAGAGGGAGGCATGTGAGATCGTAAGATTCAGTTCTGAAGGGCAGAACACAGGGATTCAGCGTGGGAGGAGCAAAGCCACCTTGAGTCATTGCCACTGTGACTGCCCCCGAGTAGCCCTGATACGGCTTTTCTCACATAGTTTGCCAGCACAGTGTAAGTCAGCAAAGCCATGCAGTGGTATGTGGAGCTTCAGAATTGGGTCCTGTGTCATTAGCCCCAGGCAGATGCCTGATGTTCTCGGCCTTAGCTTGAGCTAAACCAGGTAAGCTCTGGGGGGATGAAGTCACATTTTTCCTGACCAGGGGATCAGTCACCTCCCTCTGACCTAGATTTTTCAGATATACTGGTTTTGCTGTCCCCTTGTCCACAGTTCTGTCAGTAAGTGGCTAATAAATTGCACTCTGGAATCCTGCCTGCGTCTTATTTTTAGTGTTGTGGCATCTTGTGTCCAGTTCTCAAATGCTTAAACCAGACTGTTCAGCCACCCAACCCCCTTGGAGATACCTTTCTTAACACTTCCTTTTCTTCACTATGGGGTGGGCCTACCTGGGCAACTCACCTGTCTTTTGTTTTCCTTAAGATTTCATCGCGCATATCCTATGTAATGGCCCAGTTGGAGAAGGGCAGAAAGTCCAGGTGTTTGGCAGGGTAAACATTACTTCGTCACAGTGGGAGAGGCCTGGTGAAGGGCTCTCCGTGCTGCATGGGAGCTAGGGCAAGTGCCATGTTACAACTGGGTTCGTATAGAAACTGCAGTCTGTTTTTGTTTAGCAGTGTTTTATTGCCGTTGCCTATAGCAGTACCTCATTCCTACTCTTCCTTCCCCAGTCTTCACCCTTTACCCATTCATCGTTTCTCCCTGACTTCTGTCTCTTGGCAAATTTGCCACCCTCTGGCCTCCATGGCACATTCTCTATCCTTGTTCCGTCTGTGATGCCGTACAATACTGGCCTCCCTTAATGTGTCAGGATTTTGCACCTTACCTAGTCCTTAAGAATCAACTACTTGAGTTGGGTGTAGTGGCACATGCCTGTAATCCCAGCACTCCGGAGGCTGAGGCAGGAGGATCACTGTGAGTTTGAGGCCAGCCTGGGCTACATAGTGAGTTCAAGTCCAGTCTGAACTGCAAAGGGAGACCCTGTTGCAAAAAAAAAAAAAAAATTAACTACAGTCAACTACTTACTTGTAGTAGGATTTTCTTTGGCCTAGACACATCCTTTGCACAGAGTGCAATTGACTCCAGTAGCCCAGGCCTTGCATTATCCCTTTTGCAGAGGAGTGAATTGGATACCTTCCCTCTACGTATCTTTGAGTTCCTCCATTCTGAGACCTGTACAGACCTAATACTGAAAATTGGCCCTCCCTTTCACTGACCCTGGCTTCCCCATCCTTCCAGCAAGCCAGCACAATCTCTCATTATGATAGGGCTTCTTCCCAACAAATCAACATGCTCTTCACCAAATTTCTTTGATTTCAGGTTGTTGGTGTGAAGCAGGCAATGAGGAGGCACATTCTGAGCAGAGCATTTCTGTAGAAAAAGTGACACAGATCAGGACTGAATCAGGTCTTTGCTTCCAGAGTGCCCACCCATGTGAGATGCGTGATACACTCTTGAAAGCCATTTTGCACCTGGGTGAATGCCAGAACTCACATGCTATGCAGAATATATGCACATGTGAGCCACATGGAAGAGGATGTTCATTCAGTGCAAAATTTTACTGTCACCAGAAGCAGCACTGTAGAGACATTCCCTTCATGGGGGATAATGGATGGGACTCTTTCGTGAAGAGCTGTCTAGCCCGTGTGTTAGGGATACCCGTTGTGTGCGGGGAGGCTGGGGTGGACTTGCTGGACAGTACCGTCCTCTTTCAGCTCCAGCCCCCACGCAGTGAGGTGATCGCGTACGGAAAGAATGAGTGCACGGAGTCTCTCCCAGCCAGTTCCAGTGTTGGCCAACCCCAGGAAGACCGTGATGGACAGATGATTTTCAATTGCAGCAGTGATGGAAAAGACTCCCTAAATACTGTTCCTCTTCTTGACAACCAGAGAACTCAGACTGATACGAGTCCCCTTAGATGCCTACCATGTGGAAATGTGTTTGAGCAGAAGTTAAGTCTTTTCAATCATGGAGAAATTCACAGCGGAGAGAGAGCTCATATGTGTAACGAGTGTGGAAAGGCCTTCGTTCACCTGTCTCACTTAAAAAAGCACCAGAAATACCACACTGGAAAAAGACATTACATTTGCAGTGAATGTGGGAAGACCTTCGGCCGTAAAGACACACTTATTCAACATGAGAGAGTTCACACCGGAGAGAGGCCTTTTAAGTGCAGTGAGTGTGGCAAAGCCTTCACCCGTAAAGACACACTTGTTCAACACCAGAGGTTTCACACTGGAGAGAGGCCTTATGAGTGCAGCGAATGTGGGAAATTCTTTAGCCAAAGCTCCCACCTTATTGAGCACTGGAGAATTCATACTGGAGCAAGGCCTTATGAGTGCACTGAATGTGGGAAATTCTTTAGCCATAAATCTAGCCTCATTAAACATCAGCGAGTCCACACAGGGGCAAGGTCTTATGTGTGCAGCAAGTGTGGGAAAGCTTTCAGCTGCAAAGACACACTTGTTCAGCACCAAATCATTCACACTGGAGTGAGGCCTTACCAGTGCAGCCAGTGTGGGAAGGCCTTCAGCCGTAAGGACACCCTTGTGAAGCACCAGAAAATCCACACTGGAGAAAGGCCTTATGAGTGCAGTGAATGTGGGAAGTTATTCAGACATAGCTCCAACCTTATTGTACACCAGAGAATTCACACTGGGGCAAAGCCTTATGAGTGCAGTGAATGTGGAAAGTGCTTTAGCCACAACTCTAGCCTCAATCTGCACCAGAGAGTTCACACTGGAGCAAGGCCTTATGTGTGCAGTGAGTGTGGGAAAGCCTACATTAGTAGCTCTCACCTTGTTCAACACAAGAAAGCTCACACTGGAGCAAGACCTTATGAGTGCAGCGAATGCGGGAAACTCTATAGCCGCAACTCTAGCCTCATTCTCCACCAGCGAGTGCACACTGGAGAAAAGCCTTATGTCTGTGATGCATGTGGGAAAGCCTATAGCAGGAGCTCACATCTTGTGCGGCACCACAGAGTTCACCGTGGAGAGAGGGCTCGCGCATGCAGTTTTAGTGATCCTTAGCTGCCCCTCTTTAGCTTGTTTTGCATACAGTATTCACACAAGAGAAAGGCCTTATGAATGCAGAAAAGTCACCATGTCCTCTTTCTTACTCACTAGAGAAAAGCTCTGTGTGCTCTCTGGAGACAATCGTTAGCTCACAGGTAAACCTGTCTGTTCTGACATCCGTCCTGGGGAGAGTCCAGTAAATGCTGTATATGTGGGAAGTGGCCATGAGGTGTGTTGGACTCTCAGTGCTGTCCAGGGCTCTTGGCAGTTATGTCACTGCCAGTGCCTGTGGTGCAAGCCATCATATGCTCCCACCTGTGTGTGTCAGGCTCTCTGTTCTGCTCAGTGAAGGCAGATACCTGCTCACTCTTCTGTTCCCTATAGGGGTTGTGAATGTTCTGAGCCCATTGAAGGTCCTCACTTCCTTTCTCATGGCTAGGTTCTGAGTGGCCATTGTCTTCAGACTGGCATGAAGGATCTGAGATAGGATCTGCTGGGGATTTCTAGGCAAGATTCCCCATTGGTAGTGTTGATCATGAACACAGTAGTCATCCAAATCACCCATCCTTGCTAACTGCTTATCTTATACTGCAGACTTACGCAGTGATAAATGTTGCTATATATTGTCGTCCTTTCCTCTTGGTTCTGTGTACTGTGTGGAGTAGACTGAGAAAAAAAAAAAATAAGTCTGCCAGTGTGAAGGGAGGGATACCTTTTGTGGCACAGATTTTATTTTCTTGACCACAGGTTAGCCAAGAAAAGTTCCCAGTCTAGTTTGACTTAGTGTACTCTATTGTGGCCGATAGAAAAGACTGAAGAGCTTTATCTGCCTAATTCTCTGGCTTGAATGTAAGGGTCTCTTGTGAGCCCAGTATTCATTCTGAGGAAGGTGTGAATGGTGTGAAAGTCTCCCATGCTTCCAGTCCCTTAAGTGTCACATGTTCTCTAACACTGTTGAGGAATTATTGTCTCCTAGACTTGTACAGGAGCCAGTCTCTGATAGCCAGAATCCCATAGGCAAGTGCTGTGGGTTGTAGGACCTACACTGCAAGGTGAGAATCACTGGTACAGAAACAGTGAAATAACAGAGTGGGGGTGACTATGGCAACACTGATTTGTCCTTCCTAAAGGGCTATCCACAACGTCCAGGTAGTTGTGGCTGTTTTGAATGAGGATGTGTAGAAATTCTCAAAGTCTCTAAGACATTGCCATTTCCTGGGGCCACAACTACTGTGAGTAAATAAAGATTTGTGGATTTTTGTAGCTCCATGGGCTGCTGACGGGAAGGCCATCACTGCACAGCTGCTTCTCTGACCTCACCTTCACTCCTAACTGAAGCAGGCATAAACTTCATTGTTTTGCAGGTTTTGGTCACACTGAGGCAGGGGTCACTCTCCTAAATTGGGAGAGGAATGCAGTGCAGCCAAGGTAGTTTGCACATCTGACTTTCTGTGAGGACTTGTAGATGATTTTCCATCCTTACCCTGAATATTTAGTTCTTAATAGCTTTATGATATATGATTAATACCTCACACTACAAATAGGTAAATTGCAAGATTTGCACTTTTTCAGCCTGTGTATACACCTTTGAAATTACCATAATCAAGATAATGAATGTATCCAACAGAAGCAAAAGATTCCTTGTGTCCCTTTATAATTCCACCAGTCCTTATTGCTCCCAGATTTACAAGCAGCAAGAGGCAGTTTATATAAAAAAGGAAATCATGGTATGTACTTTTTTGAGGTTGGGAGCTCTGACTTTTTTCAGTAATCATCACTATTTTAAGATTTTTTTCCTATTGTTGCATGAATCAGTAGTTAATTTGTATCTCTTAGCAGTATTCCATTGTATACCACAGTTAAAATCTATTCAGTTGTTAATGTTTAAGTTGTTCCCAGTTTTTTACTATTACAAATAAAGCTGCTATGAATAGTTGTGTTTGAGTTATGAGAGAATTGCATTGATATGGCATTTTTTACCCATTCACTGATTGAAAGTCATATCAGTTGCTTTCAAGATTTGGAAATTGTGAATAAATCTACAATAAACATCTGTGTGCAGTTTCTGTGTGGACATCTTTTAAACTTTTTAGTTATCTGCCAGGGAATGTGATTTGATGGATTATATGTTAAGAATATATTTATAGTCATAAGCTGTCTTTCAAAGTGACTGTACCACTTTGAATCCCAACCATCAATAGATGACAGTTTTCTATTTTAGCCACTCAAATAGTTAATAAAGTGTTACATCATTGTTGCTTTAGTTTGCCATTGCATAATGACAGGTGATGGCATCCTTTCATGTTCTTTTCAAAGTGTCTTGAGGAGAAATTTTTAATCAAGTCCGGCTTACTCAATTTTTCTTTCATGATCTTTATTTTCCATGTTTTTGTTAGCTTTACATCACTCTAACAAAATGCTTGATATAAAGTAGTTATGAAGTAGAGAAAGATTTATTTTGCCAAGGTTTCTGAAGATTCATGTCCAGAATCAGGTATCTGTTGGTTTGGGCCTCTGCTAAGCATGGAAATTCATGTTGTGTATATTGGAGCAAGTGGTCCCATCTTAAGCCAAGAAGAAGAGAGAAGGAATGAGAGTTGTGTGAGGGGGAGAATGCTGATACAAAACTCATCAGATCCTTTACAGCAGTGGCTGATAAATGGTAGAGTAAATGACTGGCAAACAAAGGTGAAAGGTAAATATAGGAGCAACTGGAAAGATCAGGTCTTTCCAGAGATGTAAGACAAGAAATAGCCCTCACACTGTCCACAGTGTCCAGGCTGAGTGTCATTTCAAAGCTGATGACAGGAGGGCTGGGGATTTAGCTCAGTGGTACAGTGCCTGCCTGGCAAGCACAAGATCATGAGTTCGATTCCTGGTACCGGAAAAAAAAAAAGCTGATGACTAATAATTATGACTCCTATATTAATTATATTAATTTCAGAAAGGCATATTTTAAAAGGAAAAAAGCTCTGTCTTGAAGTATTATTTTAATGGAATTCCTAAGTTTTTTTCTTTTTTTAAACAGTGTCATCTGTAACCAAGTTGTTACATGGTGTGTTCATTTCCTTAGGAAAATCCTCAATGTAAAATGGCAGGGCCAGAGATATAGCTCAGTGGCACAAATGCCTGGCAAATGCTGGGTCCTGAGTTCGACTCCAGGTAAAACCGCCCCCCCAAAAAGTAAAATGTCAGTGTCACATACATGCTGAATAATTGAATACTTCGATGTATTTTAGGAGGGATCATTTTTTTTTTTCAGTTTACTGAGCTAGTCAGCAGAAAACAAGAGTTGCTATATTCTGCCTATTCACCTCTGTCCTAATCCCTTTTTCTCTCCTTAACATTTATGTTAGCGTGTATTCAGTTAGTATCTTTCAGATGAATGATACTTCAATAATTAGGAGAAACACAAAATGGAAATAAAGTTTTTATTACTTCCACATGCTGAAGGAGAAAGGCACACTCAGCAGTCCCACATGTGGAGTGAGGGAGCCCTTGGAAAGGAACAGGGTGAGGATACAGAGAAATGAAGAGAGGATAGAAGAAAGTAAGTAGGGCTGTGCCTTTTAAAGTAGTACGGGAGTGACTACATGAGGATATCCCCTTTGGGCATGAAGGGACTATATCCATGTTAGGGTGTGTGGTTTAAGGAATTCTAATGAGTTTTCTTCACTCAAGAAAGCAGTATGCAAAAAAGGTGAGCAACTTTGGCTTTCAGTTTGTCCCAATAATTCATGAATATCAAATAGACAGTATTGCATCTAAGAATACATGCCACAGTCTTGTATATATATATATATATATATATATATGCAGAACAGCTGATAACTGCACAGTGCATCTCATGCATCTACTATTGTGCCTGAAACTCAGTACGTGCTCGTTGGGCATTTTGAAAGCAGTAAATCAATGTCCCTGTTCATTTTTACCTTTATGGTGAGTCTTGCACTTTATTGTCTTTACTTCTTTCACCAAACTTTTAATGAACAGTAATTTCAAGTATTAAAACAACTTACAGTTTGGAGAGAAAAGCATGAATATGGCAAAAGTTTCAGTACAGCTTTGGGTTCAGCTTCATTCTGACTTCTTGGACTTAACTGTCTCTGTCAAACTTCCCTGAGAACTTACCCCTGCCCCCCACGTTACAGACACGTTTCTCTAGAAATGTTTCTGGATAACTACATGATCATTTTAAATATCTCTTGGGAATTTGTGTTTCAGCATTTTTTCAGCTCCCCCTGTAGACAGCATGGCAATTACAAATGGGGGGGATAAATCACTTCTCAGCAAGACAATGAAATTGTGCGATATCACTTTTTCTTAGGGATGATTCCCTCTTTGTACATATGCTCCTGCTAAATGGCACACAGTGTCTTTGCAGGAAATTGCCTGTGATCAGTTGATGTAATTTTCATTTTGAGATTAAAACAACTGGAAAATAGCTGCGAAGTATTATTTTAATGAAATTGTTGTTCCCAGGGTAGGAAAACAATGACTGATCATATAGCCAGGAAAAATGTTTCTCTGGAATGAAAGACACATTTCGGTATACCTCAGTGAAGCCTGTCAGCCCTCCTCCTCATTCCACTGCCTGTAGTCTTCCATGTCCTGGACCAAACATATTGAAGATTGTTACCGTTTCTTGTTATTATTTTATTCTTGGTGCTGGGGATTGATCCTAGGGTCTCACTCATGCTAACCGTGTGAGTTGCCAGAGGAACATTCCAAACCTCTTTGATGCGTAGCTCTCGCTATGTAGTTGAAAAATGGCAGCACAACGGACAGTGAATAACTGTCAGGGGACAGTGCATTCCCATGGTGTATCCCTTTGGATGTGTAGCCTTTGAGAACTTACTCTGCCTCACAGAGGCTGAAACAACGGCTTCCTAATATTTCTGTGCGTATCCTAAACTACACTCCAAGGAAGTCTGTGTTGGTTGCGTTTAAGCGGAAGCCGAGCACCCTCCGGTCTCTGGAGCCCCAGAGCTCCACTTCCCAGAGCCCGTCCAGGTTCCCTTCGCCTTTACCAGGAAAGACGTGACCAAGTTGCAGAGGCACAGCTGGAGCGGCGGGGAGACTCCGTTTCCCAGAAGTCCTTGCGCTGCACACGACTGCTGAGCCGGTGGAAGCTTCTGCGGAGTTGTTCAGGTGCGTGCGCACCACGAGGGGCGGGACTTCCGGTGTCCTCCTGGCAGGCGCCATGGTTTCCTAAACCGCTAAGCTTGCGGAGTGCTTGGTTATCACTGAGGTGACAGAGCGGAAAAGCAGGAGAAGCGGTGTGATTCCCAGCGCTCAGAGGAGGAGCTGAGGCTCAGCTGAGCCGGGCTGGTGACGGCGGCGCCCTTGTCTTACCTCGTGTCCCCGCCCAGGTGCCCCGGGCCGTGCGCTCGGCGCAGGTGGGTGCTGCGGCCCGCTGCCCGCGTCCGTGCGGAGCGCGGTGGGGCTCGGCGCGCGCCCCGCAGGCCAGGCCTGTGTGCGGAAAGGGAGGGTCTCGTGGTCCCCCTCCTGGCCCTAGCGGTGAGGCGTGGAAGTCTGTCCCGCGACTCCTGGACCGGCTTGCCCCAAGGCTGCGGGCGCCACGGAGTGGGCGCAGCGGGGAGACGGGGGTTGTGAGAAAAAGAGCGGCGGGTGGAGCTTCGTCCGGATGACAGCCCAGAACTCTCCAGGCCGAGGAGGGCGTGTCCCGAGCGGGTGGGGAAACAGAATAGGGACTTGAGGCAGGGAGGCTGAGACCACTGCAGCTGAACTCCAGGAACACCTGGGTCGGGAGCAGACCAGAGTGGTGGCATTGGAAGCGCAGTGTGATGAGATTCTTCATGGACCTCCAAGGTAGTCCAGAAGGTTTCACATTGCATCAGATAGGACGGCAAGAGTAGTTAGCATTCTGTCTTCCTCAGAGGTTCCCGAGCCAACATCTGAAATAATGCTTTTGGAGAAGTGAGCTTTTAGAGAAGACCGTGGCTGAGATTTTCTTTAAATTTTATTTTAAAGAGAAGAGAAGATAAACAGTGAAACCGAGTTTTGAAACAGGTTAGTAGGACAGTTACAGTAGTCGATAGATGGCATATTGTCTTGGTAATAGTTAGAGGACAGGACAGAGGCGTGGTATCTTCTCTAAACAATATTAGCACGAAACATTGTTTTCAAGGAGCTAGGAGAAGCTAGCTGTAAAACTATCTTAACTATCCTGTGTATACATATATTTTTTTTGCCCGTTCTTCCTTTCCTCTTTACCCTAACGCAGTTTGTCTTTTCTTTTGCACAGTTTTTCCCCAGTTCACAATATTTATTGTACGTTTCAGATCCTATTTTCTTGTTCAGTTTCTCACACTAATGAGACGATACAGTGTTTACACATATGGGTCTGATTTATTTCACTTACGAGTATGGTCTCGTTACATCCATTTACCTATAAAAGTCTCCAGTTTATCCTTTTTATGACTGAGTAATACTCCATTATATATATAAAAAAACACATCTTTTTTATCCATTCCTCTGTTGATGGGCATCGAAGTTGTTTCCAAGACTTAGCTATTAGAAATGGTGCTTCTATACATGGATACACATATATCACTGTGGTATGTTTTTAATTTTTCTGGGAAGATACCCAGAAGGGGGATAGCTCATTTGAATAAGGCCTCTAATCCCAGTTTTTAAAGTGATTTCCACAGTGGTTGCACCAGTCTACATTCCCACCAGCAGTGGAGAAGAGTTCCTTTTTCCCTACAGCCACTCCGGCATTTGTTATTGGTTGATTTTTTGATGATAGCCGGTCTCATGGCTGAGATTATTGTTCACAACTCCGACCTAGAAAGCCTAAGACCTGGCAGAGGAGAGATTCTGGCTTGTGGATGTAGAAAATGAGGCCTGGACATGGTAAGAAGCTGGCCTAGGCAAAAGGCTGAAATATGAGGCTGTTTAGGTTTTCCACCTGCAGGCCTGGCTGATCCTCAAGGCTGCTGTCTGTGGAACAAGAGAGAGGTCATCCAGGTTAGTGGAGCAGCTGGACTCCAAACCTGGCCATTATATTTTCCTCCATCACATCTAGGCCAAGAGGGGATTATTTAGTATTGTAATCAAGGGACCTGGAAAAGCTCCTGGTTGCAGAAAGGACTAGTAGCTGACCTGACCCCTCAGGTCCTTCCCATAGCTACTTACTGATACAAATACAAATTAACCACTATCCCTCTGAGTATGTACACATTTGTAGCAAGTGAAGTTACTCAGTTAAATTTCTGCAAACAGTTTATAATTGGTTGGACATTAATTTACTTCTATTTGCTTATCATGAGAGATCTCTAAAATCTCGAAAAGCTGGATGTATACACCCAGTTTGAAAGCCTTACTAATTCATTTGCACTGAAAACATACAAAACCATTCATTAATCCTATGACTAGTAATAGCTGGTGTGGAGTATGTGAGGTGGTTTTACCAGTATAAACCCTGTGAGAGAGAAACCATTCTTATCCTCTGAAGATGAGGCTTAGGGAGATTCAGATCTTTTCCAGAGCCATAGGTCTGCTAAGAAGCCCTTAAGCACTGCAGTGTGATGAGCTGCGCTTATGCAAACACATTGAGGTCAGTGTTTTTCCAAGGCAGGGCAGAGAGGCCATAGTCCAGCTCAGCCTGTGAGATTCTAACATGGTGGCATATTTCTCATGGCCTCTTTCTTTCCATAGGGCCCACAGATGATGGCAGATATGGACCCTTCACAGGTCAGTAGAGGGTTTCCTACCTTACACCAACACTGGTTATCTCCCAGATGGCTTTCACACCCCAATCCTGAGACTCTTGTCCTTCTCCTTGTCTTATATATGAAGACTAGGTGGTTCCATAAGGCCCAGCTTCCTACATTTAGTAGTTCTCACTTTGGGTGAGTGATAAGCTAAATTCTATCAGCACTGTGGGCATGGGACATAGAATGTTTCAATGGTTGGAGGTAAGGCAGAGGAAACCAGATGTCTGTGTGTGGTGGGAGTGGGGTCAGTGAGAGGGATGGCTAGAGACACACAGAGACCAGGCCTGGAATGACCGTGTGGTTCCGGGCTGCAGAAGAGTTAAAGGAAAAAAAGACAGTGGTGTGACCTAGACTTAAGAGGTTCCTTCTGGCTTGAGTATATTTTAAACTAAAATTGTTTACATTTTATGATACAGGAAGTAAGGAACCTTGGGAGATTAGATGAAAGGAGAATTGGGAATGTCCTCCTGATCTCTGGTCTTGTTTGGAAGAATGGATAGATGTTCCATCAACTAAGATGGGGGAACTCAGCAATATGAGGAATTTTTAGAGGGAATGAAAGAGTGAGTATTGTCCATGCTACAAATGTTCCTGACATTCCTGGTGAAGCAGTTTTGGTCAGAGACATCCATAATATGGTGGCTGGCATGTGGACTGGAATGAAGCTGTGGGGAGAAGTTAGGAGGCCGTTATCATGGATGTGGATGTTGGAGGGAGAAAGGAAACAAGGTAGTAGTGATGCTAATGTTGAATGGGGTGAGCTGTTGGTGGGTGGGAAGGTGGTGTGTGAAGTTAGTGCAGTTAGGTTTTATATGAGCTTTTGGAGACTGTTTATTGGACAAGGTGTTTAATAAAGAAGCTGGAGACAGCCAGGAGAGAGGTCCTTGCCTAGGCTTGAGTAGCTTTGAAGTGAGAAACAGGCAGATGGGGAGACCCTCAAAGCAGGGGTTTGGGCTGCCCCTGGTGTGAGGGTACTTTGGTGTTCTAGGACAGGACTGGGGCTGAATTGGATACGAGGTGTATTTGCCGAGTTGCACCTGGTTTCCATGTGTGGAGTGGCCAGCTCGAAGGTAATGGAAATGTCTGCAGTGTGGCCATGATGGAGGTGTGTCCGCAGAGTGAGGTGCAGGGAGAGAGGTGTGAAGGGTTAACCCTGAGATCAGGCACACAGGGGAAGGTGATCCTGAGTTTGGTGGTCTGGGATGTAGGATCTGGAGGACACCAGGGAATTGGCTGGCTGCAGGGGGTGGAGTTCTGTGTAGCAGGCCCACAGTTTAGACAGTGGTTTTTCTTCCTCTTGTGTGTCAGACTCAGCGATAAATGAAAATGAGAGAAAAGGCACCAGTGTCACTAGGACTGGTGTCTGTTCCACACTGGGAAGGTGTGGAAGAGGCTGAGCAGTGGATGGTTGCAGGGGAGAAGGACTTAGAACCTAGAGAGAGAAAAATATGGCAGTAGTGGTTGTACCTGTGGGGTTTTAGTTTACAGATGTGAGTGAAAGCAGTGACAAAGGAGATATTTATTCCTTATATTTCCTGAAGCGTGCACACCATGCAGGGTCCTACGGCAAAAAATTGCCTTGATAGGAGGCATAATACATGAGCAAGGAGGAAGCTGAGGTCACCGTCTTTACTGGGGCTCACAAGGGAGAGACAAAGCAAGCGGGGTGACCTGCTGAAGTTTGGCAGGGTGCTGCCGCTGGTTGTTCAGTACTTGCCCTGGGTTGATTCAGGACAGGTGGGTTGGGCTGTGAAAGTTAAATGAGGAGGTCATTTGGAATATGGGCTGGGAGAGGTAAACAAACCTAGCTCTTAGCCCTTTAGTTACTGAGGGCCAAGTAGAAGAGTCTAAAAATCAAAGAAAGCAGAGTTGCAAAAAAGCTGTGCATTTACCGAACGGTCTTCACTGTGGCAGGGCCGTGTGGTCTTTGAGGACGTGGCCATCTATTTCTCCCAGGAGGAATGGGGGCACCTCAGTGAGGCCCAGAGATTCCTGTACTGTGATGTGATGCTGGAGAACTTGGCACTTCTGTCCTCACTAGGTAAGGCCCTCACACCCACTCAGCGTCTGGTGGGCTGTGGTTTCCCTACTACCCAGGTGCAGCTCTTGTCTTCCCACATCCTGACCATGGCACAGACTTCTTGTAGTTTCCTGGTAGCGTGTTATTGGAGATGTGGAGCTCTGGATTTGTACCCCTCTCTGCATGCAGCTCCATCTTTTGCTGCTCTGAGGGCTTGCAGAAAAGGACCCGAGTCAGAAATGTTAAGTTTCTCTAAGAGATCCCAGTGCCCTGCCTGTGCCTGACCAGGTCACCCTGTCCGTGTGTGTGGAGGCTCCATGCTCCAGGTTGTGCCCTGGCTCTTGCTGATGTTTTTGGTGTCTCTCTGTGCCAGTGTCTTAGTTACTTTTCTCTCACTGCTGGGACAAAACACCTGGCCCCCAAAATTAAGGAAGGAAAGGTTTATTTAGCTTACAGTTTGTGGAGACTGCAGTCCATATTTGGCTGGCTCCACGGCAGAGTGGCACGTGGCAGAGGGCAACCATTCATGGCAGCTGAAAACAGCAAAAACAACAAGTACAAAAGCAGGGAGCAGCAGCTGGCAGAGCAAGCCTCTTTCCTTCCCTTACATTGTATGCAAACTACCTGCCCCAGGGCAGGTGTCGCACTCATATCCCTAATTCCAACACTGAACCATGAATCAGTCATAAACTCTAGAAGCCTGTCCCATGACTGCATGACGCTTTGGGGGGACATCCAGACACAAACCATAGGAGCCAGGAATATCTGACACCAACCTGGTCACCAGTTGGAGGCCATGAGATTTTTGCAGGGCTTTTCTGTGATGTGACTATAGCCTGTGGTGTGCTGTCGGGTGGATCCCTGGACATGTTCTTCACTCCCTTTCTCTGTCTTTCCCCTTGGAGTGACCTTTTCCAAGTTCCACCCAAGTCCCTTTGAGTGATGGGGAGGTCTCCAGTACCCAGGAGGGTGGATATGAATACCAGTGATTGTAATAGCATCTCACAGGGATGTGGTCCTGGTGCCAGGGAATTGAGAAAGGGCTTCATATCAGAGCTTGTTTTTGATCACATTGGGAACCTTTCCTACACTGCCATTGTTTGATGCCAGGACCAGTAGCCATCCTCATTTCCACCTTTTCTCCCCCACTGTTGTTTGCTTAGTCCTCCTGTCCCTGTCTGTGCCTGGTCCTTTATCCATCCATCCGCTCCTATCGCTTCTCGGCCTTTTGGCTAAGATCAAGTGTAGCATCCATCCGCTCCTCCCCACCCCCACTTCTGTGGCACCGCCTCTCACCCATTGTCTCCATTGTTCCCTAGACAGATGCCTCCAACACATGGTTTATACTTATGGTGCAGTTAGGTGTGCGTGTATTACCCAGTATTCCTTGAACTTTGCTGATCTGTCAGAATAGGTAGCTCTGCATCTGGACACAGCCTTCAACACACTGCTTCCCAGTCACCAGCAGCTGTAGCCTGGTGAAAGCCTTTGCAGAGGAATCGGGTAGAGAGCCTGCTTCTTTCCCCAGTGTACTTCTTTTTGTGTCTTTACTCATCACTGGGCTTTCCTGCACAGCAGGCCCTCCTCTCACTGGCTCTATGTCCATCCCCTAGCAGGAAGCCTGTGAACTTACTGTGGATGTGACACACATTTGGGATGAGGATGCCCTCCCACCAAGGTCAGCACACCCCACCAACATGTTCTCTTCTTGCAGGTTGCTGGCATGGAACCGAGCATGAGAAGGCACTTTCTGAGCAAGGAATTTCTGCAACAGCATCACAGGTTACCTTTCCAAAGCCAGAGTCGTCCACTCGGAAGACCAAGCCTAGGGAGACATGTGACCTGCTCTTGAAAGATATTCTGCACCTAGCTGAGCACAGTAGAACAGAAGCTAAACAAGAGATGTATTTTTGTGAGACAGAGCTTTACTGGCCTCAAAAGCAGATTGGACAGAATCCTTCAGGAAGGGACAGTTGGAGACTTTCATTTTTGAAGAACCACAGAGTTCATATGGCAGAGGGAACCTTCACATACAAGGAAGGATGGAAGGAATTGCCAGCTACTTCAGGCCTTCTGCAACACCAGGCCCGTCACTGTGGGCTGAAGCCAGACAGGGAAACCGAGGGCAGGGAAGCCCTTCCAGCTAGACACAACAGTTACATGTGCAGTAAATGTGGGAAACCTTTCACATGTAAATATTCACTTGTTGAGCATGAGAAGACTCACACAGGAGAAAGGCCGTATCAGTGTAGCAAATGTGGGAAATTCTTTAGGTACAATGCCAACTTCATGAAACATCAGAATATTCACAGTGGAGAAAGGACTTACGAGTGTAGAGAATGTGGAAAATCATTCATGTACAACTATAGACTCATGAGACATAAGAGGGTTCACACTGGAGAAAGGCCTTACGAATGTGATATTTGTGGGAAATTCTTCAGGTACAGCTCCACCTTCTTTAGACATCAAAGAGTTCACACTGGAGAAAGGCCTTATGAGTGTAATGTATGTGGGAAATTCTTTATGGACAGCTCCACCCTCATTAAACACCAAAGAGTTCACACTGGAGAAAGGCCTTACAAGTGCAGCGAATGTGGGAAGTTCTTTAGGTACAACTCCACCCTCATTAGACATCAGAGACTTCACAATGGAGAAAGGCCTTTTGAGTGTAGCATATGTGGGGAATTTTTTAGGTACAACTCTAACCTTGTTAAACATTGGAAAGATCACACTGGAGAAAGGCCTTACAAGTGCAGTGAGTGTGGGAAATGCTTTAGGTACCACTGCAGACTCATTAGACATCAACGAGTTCACACTGGAGAGAGGCCTTACGAGTGTAGTCAGTGTGGGAAATTCTTCCGGTATAACTCCAACCTCATTAAACATTGGAGAAATCATACTGGAGAAAGACCTTATGAGTGCAGGGAGTGTGGGAAAGCCTTTAGCCACAAACATATACTTGTTGAGCATCAGAAGATTCACACTGGAGAAAGACCTTATGAATGCAGTGAATGCCGGAAGGCCTTCATTCGAAAGTCCCACCTGGTTCATCACCAGAAAATCCACAATGAAGAAAGGCTGGTGTGCTCTGTGAATGTGAGGAATTCTTTAGGTACAGCTCCAGCTTCATTAAACATCAAAGATTTCACCATGGAGAAAATTTACCGTTGATTTTTAATTGGAGAATGTTTTTTGAATTCCCATTTCTCCTGCAATTAATCTCCAGAACTTTTTATCTTGCAGAAGTAAAACTATTGCCATTAAGCAAGAATACTTCATTTCTTTTCCCTACTGGCCCCAGCTACTGCTACTCTATACTTTGTACCTGAGTTGGACACCTATTGCTCTATTATAAGCAGAACTGTACAGTATGCGTTTTTGTGACAGATTTATTTGACTTAGGCTAATGTCCCTAAGGTTCATCCATGTGTAACGTGTCAGAAATCTATTCCTTTTTTTCAGTGAAATAACATTCCATGGTATGTGTACACCATATTTCCTTATCTCTTCATTGATTAATGGATACTTGGGTAGTTCTAACTTCTAGCTATTAGGGAGGATGCTAGTATGAAGATGAGTGTACAGATAGTTATTTGAAACCCTGCTTTCAGTTTGGGTGTTCCCAGAAAGAAAAGTACTGGATCATATGGTGGGTGTCTTGATTTTGTAAGGAACCGTTTCTCACAATACCTGTACCATTTGACATTCCCACCACACTGCACAATGTTTCTTGTCTGCATCATTACCAACACTTCCTTTCCTGTTTCTGCTATTTGAATGTGTGTGTGTGTGTGTGTGTGTATGTGTACTTAGCTCACCTTTTGGGTCGGAGAACACTGGACTTCACATTTTTATATTGCCAGTTCATGATGTGGACCATCTTTTCTTGTGCTTCTTCCCACCTGGAGAAATAGCTCTTCCCATTTTTAATGAGTTTTCTTATTGTTGAATTTTAGAAATTTTAGAAATACATTTTGTATATGATCTTAAAATATTTTTTTCCTAGTACATAGATTTTTTTGTTCTGTCAGTTACATCCTTTGCTGAAATTTTTAATTTTTATGTAGTCCACCTTATTTTATTCAAGCTTTTGATAAATGCAAGAAATCATTGTCAAAAAAAATCATTGTCAAACCCAGTTTCATGCAGCATTTTCCTTATATTTTATTCTAAGAGTATTACGTTTGTAAGCCTTATATTTATTTATGTCTTTTATCCTTTTTGTGGGGGACAAAGCCTTACTGTATTGCTTAAGCTGAACTCATGGGTTTGAGAGATCCTCTTGCTTCAGCCTCCCATGTAGCTGGGACTACAGACAGGTATGTGCCTCTGTGCCCAGCATTCATTTGTTTTTGTATAAGATGTTAGGCAAACCTCCATTTTCATGCTTTTGTGGATAACTAGCTTTCCAAGCTCCATTTATTGAACAGATTGCCTTTTTTTTGAGACAAGTGTCTTGCTATATAGTTTATATATAGTCTGGACAAGAGTGGTTGCTACAAAGGTTGGAGGAGTTGTTGGCTTCTGGATGAGTTGTGACCTAGAGCTATCTATACTTTATGACATGGAGAGTGAGGGAAACAAAGGTGGTTGAAGGATTTGGGAGAATCCCTGAAGTTTTGGGCCTTGTTTTTAAGGATGAGTGCCCCAACAACTAAGATGCAGTGGAATTTCCATGGTAGTGGAATTTTAGTAGAGAATATGTGGAACTGGATTTTGACCAAGTCAAAAATGTTCCAGATGTCCCACATGGACATGCTGGTAGCAGTTGTCACACTTGCCTGAAGTTGAGGTGTTCAGGATGGAGACTTCCACTATCTGAAGCTGTGGGCCCAATTTAGGGGGAAGTGTCTTTGGACTCTGGAGATAGTGCTGTCAGGGAAGAAGGAAGGGAAACAAACGTTTTCTGTGTTGGATGATGATGGTGGCTGTCACAAAGACATGAGGGAATGGATTGGCTCTATATGTGTGCGTGTGCGTGCCTGTGTATGGGAGACAGAGGGTCAGGTTGTTGAGAGTAACAGGATTCTCGGGGAAAAGCAGACGCCAGGTGCATAACAAGACCGGTCCGCCCTGGTGATCAGGTAGTAGTGAGGTCAGGGTGGGGCTTATAACACTGTTACGGACTCATCAGGTTTTATGGCAACTCTTGGTGATACCTAGAGGTTTCTTTGGAGCTATTGATCGCTTGGATGGAAAGTGGAGTCACCTATACAGGTGGCTGAGCCGGGGGTGGGGATGGAGCTGTGGAGGTGAGTGCAGCTGATTTCTGACTAGTGTGAGGTAGAGAAGGGCATGACTGCTTATGGCACAGCATGAGCAGTAGAGTTGGAGGACATCCTAGGTCGGATTGAGTGGACGGTGTGGGAGAATGGTGAAGTCCTCATACAGGTATACAAAGCTGAAGTTAAAGCAAGAAACAGTTGGATGGAACCCTTCAGAGCAGGGCTTGGGGATGCTCTAAAAATTAGGAGAGCTGGGTGTTCTTGGCATTACAGAGGCAATACGATTCTAGTTGTATTTTCCCTTCTCTGCCTGAATTACTCATATGGAGTGGTGTGTTGGGAAGTCGCAGGGAAATGCCTGTGATGCGTGGGTGGAGAGAATGAACAGGGTTGCAGCCTTGGAGGCTCTAGAGAGCTGAAGCATGCGGTATCCAAAGAGTAAGGTGAGTAGAAGGGATGGGACCCTACTTACCAGCTTTGATGATGCTTTTCTGCCTTCTGTCACCGCCTCCCCCAGACATAGCAATCAGTGGAAATTAGAGGAGAGTAGACGCTGGGGTCCCTACGACCTGGTATTTGTTCCACATTGGGACCTAGGCAGGGGCTTCCAAGAGAATGGGTGTTCAGTTGGGGAAGGAGGAGGGCTGGAGATCCTGAAGGCGGAAATGCGTCATTGACTATATCCATGAGATTTTAATTCGCTGATATGAGTGATAACCAGTGCCCAATTTTTATATTTTCTAGAGTGGGGAGCATGCCACACTATACCGCACAGCCGTGGGGGAAGCAGCAGATGTAGTCAGGAAGAAGATGCAGGGTTGGGTGAAAGCATGCTTTATCAGAGAATGAGGTGGGGAAGCCAGGGCAAATGAGCGGATGTTCAGCTGATTAGAATAAGCCTAGAGCTGGGGATATAGCTCAGTGGCACAAGCGCCTGCCTAGAATAAGCCTGGCCAGCCTCGGGAAATAGGAACTAGCTCTCGTGTCATACCAGGCGTTGGATTGATTTAGGGTGGTGGAAATACTGGCGAGTTAGGTGGGGAGGTGGTTCAGAGTATGGGCCCTAGATGCTAAAGAAAACTGAAACAAATTGGCCTGTTAGTCTGGCCCTGTAATTAATAGATGCTGAGTGTGTAAATGCAGATCTGTGGAAACACAGCCAGAAGCTGTTCATGTGAACTGTCATAACTTTGGCAGGGCCATGTGGTCCCTGAGGATGTGGCCGTATATTTCTCCAGGTCAGTACCCCACAAGGGACAGTGCCGTGTTTGTCATTCCTGAGCTGCCCAAGCCAGCAGCCAGAGCATCAGTCCCCTCAAGATGGCCCGACTGTCCATGCACACACGTAGGGGGTCTCTTTCATGCGTCACAAGCAGTCATACTCCACAACTCTGCCCACTGGCTTGAGTTTGTGGTTCTGGTTCAAACCAGAGTACTTGTGTACTGGGCTGGGCAGTAACCACTGTCCATTGCAGGGTTGGGTCGTGGTTAAACCCATCAGTGTACCCAGCATCAGCTAGAGGTTCCTCTTTCCCTTCTGCGTAGGGACAAGAGGTCAAGTCCTGTAGTCCATCCTCCCAGGTGGGTTCCTGGGTCCTGTACATCACGGGCCCCAAAACTGTTGCCAATTTGGCTGCCAGTAGGCTGGCTGAGAGAGGCCTGCTATTGGAGGTACACGCATCAACGTGTGAGAATGGGAGCCTGTGCCACCCCACTCCTGGGACACCTGAGCCCAGACCTCTATCTGTGACTCCTCACAGACCTGCAGGGCAGCATACAGTGCTACTGCTTTTCAGTCAGAGATTGCCAGCTCTCAGCTCCCTTCCACAACTTTGGCCAAAACCCAACAGGGTGCTTCTGCTTCCCTGAGTGTGCCACAGGCCCCAGCCAAATCCGTCATCATCCAAACGAATGGTGAGGATAAGTGGCAGGTTACAGGTTAGGGTCAATGGCTCATAGGGCTTGCGCCTGTGTGGCAGCCTTCTTTGAGTCCTGAAAAGCAGCTTCCTTTGTGTCTGTCCAGCAGGCAACTTCCATTGTGTCTTTTCAGTCCCATGTTGTGCCCCTTTTGGTCATCTGGTACAAAGGGCACAGCAGGGTAGCTATGTGCAGTACATCCACCAAAAACCTAGCAAGCCCACATGTGCCTGTAATTGGCATACTGTCATGGGTCTGGTCTTACCCAACCATAGCACACCTAAGAATCTGACAGACAAGCCCGTTCCCTGGACCTTGTCTTTGTCCATGGCCCATCCCCATGCCAGCAAAGCTTCCTTCAGACTGTGCATGGTGGCTTTCAAATCTGCGAGACAACCAGGTTAACATAATGTCATCAATACAAAACAGTGACACGGTGTGGCTTGCTCCAGGTGGCCAGGTCCTGGGGCACCAGGCTATGCTACAGAGTTGGGCTGTGCAAATAGCTGATTAAAGCTGATTAATGTTGTGGCAATATCTGCGGGGTCCATTGCCTGCCTCCTGGGTGAGGGAAAATTGGTGACTGCCAGCATCAGGGTGAGACTTTACAGTCATCGGCCATGACCTGTCTGGTTTCTGCATGGACCATACTGCAGGGCTAAGACCGTCTGTCCCATTGCTTCGTGACTTCCAGGTGACCGGTTCTTCTTCATGCACACAGCCCCCGTGGCCTGTGGGTGAGTCAGTGGTGCTGCTTGGTGGGGATGGCTTTGGACTACGGTTTTTACCACACAGATTCGTAACCAGAATTCTCCCTGTGTGGTGCTGAGCCAAGCACCAGTCAGTACGTCCACCTCCAGTATGTACTGAGCAACTGGAGAAACATAAACATCACGCAGGCATTGAGGCAAGCACCCAACACCCAAAGTCACCCGGGTCTTCCTGACCATGATGCAGGGACCTCCACACCCTTCTATGCCTGCAGTATGTCCTGTAAAATGGTCTGGGTTGCCGTAGATGAGGATCGACTCAGCTCCAGTATCCACCAATGGCAGTATACATGGCACACTGTGTGTGTGTGTGGGGGGGCAAATAGGTCCACATGTGGCTTCCGGTCTCCTGGGACCCCCAAGACCCTGGAATCATAATTCGCCTTCTATGAGGTAAAAGGAGGCCAGTGTCACTTCTTCCTGCTTCACCAGAGCTGCTTTGGCCTTCTGGCCCTGGCCCATTGGCTGGTATTTTTTAGGGGTTTTTTTTGTTTGTTTGTTTTTTCTCCGGTACCGGGAACCGAACTCACGACCTTGCGCTTGCCAGGCAGGCGCTTTTGCCGCTGAGCTAAATCCCCAGC